AAAATAAAGGGATTTTTTTTTTTTTTTTTTGTATTTTCAACAATATATAGGATCTATTTCATGACAAGCCTACAAAGTATAACATTTATGCTTATTCATTTTTCTTTCCACTCTTCGATAATGAAGGGTCGGGCGGACTAAGCTTTTGCCTCGCCACCTACTCAAGTCAAACTTTTCTCGCACTACACTCTCGAAAATAAATGAGAAGGAAATACACATGAATTAGAAGTAGCGAATAGATTGTACCAAGCCACCCTTAGTCCATGAACTATCCCACATGTCAATCAAGGCGTGGATGGGGACGTTAGACTTCATAAGCCGCTTGAGCATAAATAAACAAATATAGGTTTACACTTCGTGCGAAGAGAAACTAGTATTTCTTTTCACTCGTTTACTAAACTGAATGAAGTTAGATAAGATAAAATGCATGATAAAATTTATTAGTGATTTCTCTCCGAAGTTCTTTAATATAGCATAGCAAATATACCCTCAGATGTAAAAAATAGAATGTAAACATAATAATATTTTGATATAAATAAGTAAAAAACAAATAACAAAAAATTGTGTTACATAATTTCATCTAATTTAAATACAAAGCTAATTTTTTATTTTTTATTTTCATTTCCATCCCTTTCCTCTTTGTATGATCGAATTTCAATCATCTCATTAGAAAATCAATTGGTGTTCAATTAATGCCAACGTTCTAAAAAGCGATTATTATTATTATTATTATTATTATTATTATTATTATTATTATTATTATTATTATTATTATTATTATTATTATTATTATTATTATTATTCCCCTTTGTTCAATATAATATTTTATAATTTCATATGTTTGTTAGGTGTTGTTTTAATTATTAAATGATTTTTAGATTTATTAAAAATTAAAAATAATAAAATTACTTTTTGCACTTTTTTTTTTCCTCTAGACCTCGCCAAACTGGAAGCTCAACTTCCACACCTCGCCGCACTTTACACTTCTTTAGAAAACTTATTAAAGCAAACTAAACATTTTATCACATTGCTCGCCACAATTCTTCCCTCAACATGTCATTTACTCAACTCTGATGCCACTTACACGATCGAATTTCTATTAGAGAAGAGTTCAAAAGTCATGGATTAACTATACACAATTCAAAAATCAGATTTTAACTTTGACTAATGCAAAAATAAGGTTTTAGTTAATTAATTAAAAATATTTATTAATTAAATATAATAAAATCATAGTTATATAATTAATTATCACATATATATAATTATAGATCACAGGTCACAGATCAAAAATTTTGTACGTCACAGATTATTTTTGAATCACATGTTATTAAATTTTTAGGTCACAGTTGAGTAATTGGTTACAAATTACCAAACATTTGGTCACAAACTACCGTCACTACCACTATGACCATTTTCGACCATCCTTACCACACCGCCACCACCACAACAGCACCAACAAAGCTACTGAAAACCAGTTTCACCACCAAACAACAACCGTCACCGCCACAACAACAAAAAAAACCATCACCACCTGCACCAGCAGAACCTACCAATATCGCCGCATGTACCACCAACCAAAATCGTCGTCGCCGTCGCAACACCACCACCACAACAAAAAAACTTGGGCCTGCACCACCACCACAACCAAAACGCGGCGCTTGCACCACCACAACAACCAAAACTGTAGTGGTGAAGAGAGAGGAGAGAGAGAAGGCAATTCGGAAACCAAAAGCTGTTCTCAACCACCACCATCGCGATTTTGGGATAAAAATCGCTAGCTAGTCGACTTAGATTGGAGCGAACAGAGCGCCGTCGTGCGTGAAGATGAGTGTCGCCATCGCAGAGTCATCACCACTGCATGCGACACTTATAGAAGCCGCTCACAGCGTCAACTCCCGATGGTGACGCCGCCGTGCAGGCGGTTCTCTTCCAGGGCGGCACCGCTACTGCCGAGAGAAAGGAGAAGACGGGTGCGTTTGGAGAGAGAGATGAGTGAGACGGGCTATTGAAATGATTTAGGTTTAATTAGGGTTTTAATTATTAATTCAATTAATACTTGATTTTTGATTAAATAAATCTTACATCTGATTTTTGAATTTGAAAATTTAAACGCCTGATTTTATGTAATTTTCCCATTCTATTATCTCATCTAAAGAAAATTGAGAGGCTGGTCCAATAAGCTTCAATTGAAAAGATTACAAAAAGTACATTAAGCATCTTTTAGGCCTAGAGGCCATTACTAGTAAGCCCAAAAGATCCGAGGGGGTTGATCCAATAAAATAGCCAGATGAAAAGCCCCTATAACCTTAAAAAATGGCTTTCAAATAGCAAAAATTTCATCTTACGAGTTACAAGTGTAAATATACATCGCGATCATGTAACAAACTAACATCACAGGAATCCTTAGAAGAAAATTACCGTCAAGTAAGAATTAAGGAAGGATGTTTATTTTTTTATGGAATAGTTATTTAGTAATAAAATTGAAAGAAATCGAAACTTTAAGAATGAGCATTAAAAAAACGGAGGGACTAAAGTAAAACTTTTCTCAAAGCTGGACACCCTCCAGTGCCTTTTAAGTTAAGGTCATAAATAAAGAGAAATAAAAATGAAAAAAGGAAAATCTAAAGGAAGAGAAATGTTTAATCTGAGCCTCTTGTGTTAACATGTGCTGGGCTCCTTCCTCACTTCTTCATCTCCTCTTCTCCTGTATAATTTAGGATTTCTTTTGGTGGATCTCACTTTTCCCGAATTCGTTAATTAGAAACCCCGTTTATTCAATTATCAAATGGAAAATTTATGGAGAAATTGTTATAGTGCTGGATTGGCCCTTTTTCTTCTTTTGGGGAAGCTAACGTGCGCCGACCCCGTTAGGGTTTCGTCACCGCCAGTTTGCCCCTTAGAGTCCGTCAAAGATTCCATCTTGGGGTCCCATGATTACACCTGTTCCATCAGTGGGATCCGATCTTTTTACACCGCTGGTGTAATTGAGGTACCCTATTAAGTTATTTAAACGTTATCCTATTCAGAGATTTTGTTTTAATTATTTTTTGAGCTATTTGTTTTGCTGGATTTACGTTTTTCTTGATCAGCTAATTGGAAATTGGGGATTTCTTTGGTAGATGTATTTGGAATTATCAGTTGTCTTGTCTGTTACGATTGTACTGTATAAAAAGTACGGTTTACAATAATTCGTGTTCTGAGATGTGGCTGTAAATGTAAGAAATTGAAGATTTATGTTAACCTTTTCAGCCTTTAACTTAATTTTCATTTTATTATAATTTGTGGTATACGCTGATAGCATAGTTTTAGTTGCCTAGATTATCAGGGGATAAATTATATGTCTATTATCCAAAAAAAAAAAGGTTTGGATTTTTTTAATGTTTTTGGTTAACTAAAACTATGATTGAATGCATAAATACAATTTTAACCATAGTAGGAATAAGGGCGACAACAGTCACAATACTGGATCATGCTGTCTCAAATGATGATTGTTTTAGCTATTTGAGTTTAATTTTTAATAGTGAACAACTTGTAGAGGGTCTACATATAATATATATGATTATAGCAAATCGACCAAAATTGAGAAGTGCTATAGGAATTGTGTGTGTGCTAGCGACGCCTATAACTCTACAGGTTAAGGTTAAGTTCTGTAAAATTATTATTAGACATATGATTCTTTACCATAGGTCTTCAAATGATAAAAGTGTCTGTGAAATGTTAAAAAATGAATGTATAAGCATACTAGAACAAATAAATTAAGAATTGGTGACTTGTGCAATAGCCCTATAAGTGGAGGAGATAACACTAATTAGGAATAAATTAAGGGAACGGTGACTTAGTTCGTTAAGTCATGTTTAGACACAAAGGTGCCTATGTTTACACGAGAAATTTATCTCAGTAGAATAAGTCAGAAAATGGAGAACTATATCAAAATTGACATGATCTGATGTGGCTGCAGAAGATTTGATTTCCCTGGACTTTTTAGTTATGTAGTGATAGATCAGACGAAGTAGCTAAAATGGATACATATTGAACCCTGTGTTTTTGAGAGAAAGGTTTAGCTTGTTGGTATTATTGGTGTAGGTCAAAGGTTTTCAGTTCCAGTGAAATTTCTTTTGCTAGTATACTTCTTTGTGCCAAGTTCAAGGGGATTGCACATAGAGATGTGCCAAGTTGGCATAATTATCAATCTTTAGTATTTGGTTATGAAGTGCTCTTCTCCCCTCTTCATTCTTCTTCTTTATCTGCTGGGGATGGTGATTACCAATATTTTTATCTGTAATTTGAAACACATGTTGCTGGTTGACTGCTTTTTTAATCTTGTTTTTGGAGAAGTCTCCTAGCCCCATGGTAACAGTAATTTTTTGTTGGTGAAGGGGGATGAGGTCGCACTGCAGAAGGCACTGCATATGGTTCACAAAAATACAGATGACTATGTTGCTCTTCTCTTTTATGCATCTTGGTGTCCTTTCTCTGGGTCATTTAGGCCAAGCTTCTCTGTCCTGTCCTCCTTTTTTCCTTCTATTCCTCATTTTGCTATTGAAGAATCAGCCGTTAGGCCAAGGTCTGAAGTTCAACAGTTCTTACTACACCC